AAAAAAAAACAATTTTCAAATTTAAGAAGTTTTCTGAAATGAATATTTAATAGGGTAATTGACGCAAAACGTCCCTACCTTTGCCTGTCTTTGTGGAAAACGTTCATACCTTTCGTTTATTGACGCAGAACGTCCCTACCTTTCACTTTTTTTGCACAAAATGTCATTTTCCTAATTTTCAACGTAAAATGATCATTATACCCTCCAATATAAATAAAAACAAAAAAGAAAAGTAAAAAATAAATTGCAATCTTACTCGTAGACTTTTTTAAAAAGGCAAATCAGTCCAAAACACTAATTTAATTTCACCTAACATCACACCCTAATTCTCTCCCTCCATTCTCTCTCTACAACCCGTCGCCTCCCTCCAATTCCAAACGGCGTCGCTGGCCAGAAGCATGAATCCCGGGAATCCCTTCTATCTTCCATTGCCATTTCACTCACCAACCTCCATTCTCTACTCTCCCTCCCCTTACCACCCACCCCAATCACGACGAGGATTTGCTCAGCCTGCAAAAGGGTTGGGTCAAAGTCCCGAGCCCAGGTCGCAAATGCCTTGCTTCCAAGCAAGTCACGCGCCGACAACAATTTCTCAGCAATTGTCAGCCACCTTAAAGCCACTGATCGAGTGGTGGTTGTCGGAAAAAAAATGATTGTTCCATTCAATGTTGCCACCCAATTTGAAATTCCCCGCAAAATGTAAGTAACCTCTTAGTATACTCTTACTCCAGTAACAATTCCTCTGTTTCCTCACAAGCAAGCCCAAAGAAGATACATGAGACAATGAAAGGAATCCAAGTGGGCACATCAATTTTCAATCCAGCCTTAAGATAGTAAAAGAATGGGAAAAACAAAAGCCCAATAAACAGAGGAATTCCAACAGAAAATCCCATTCTACTCATCATTCTGTTTGTAACTATTTCTGGGATAACGCCTTCTTCTTGCTCATCCTCTTCATCTTCTTCTTCGTTGGTGTCGCAATTTTTCTTTGGTTTTTTTGGATTTTTTGAATTTTTCAGAGTTGGGTCCAAATCCTTCTGGGGATTTTAGTGTGGTGAGACTGGATTGAATTTGAGGTGGGTTTTTGATGGATTTGGGGAGAGGATTGGGAATTGGATTCTACTGCGTTTGATTAGGGGAGAGAATTTTTTTTTTTTATTTTTAACATTTTCATAAATTTTGGACTCATTTGCAGTTTTTAAAAGTTTAGAAGTAAAATTACAATTTATTCTTTATTCTTTATTTTTTATTTATATAGGAGGGTATATTGGTCATTTTATGTTAAAAATTGGTCAAAAGGACGTTTTGCGCTAAAAATGTAAAAGGTAGGAACGTTCTGCATGAAAAAACGAAAGGTAGGAACGTTTTCCACAATTTCCTACAACTACCTGATAAAATGTCAACTTGGGTGTTACGTATAGGGGTTGGAAAAAAAATGAAATTTAGGATCTTTTAACCCCAATTGTATTACTTTATAGAGACGGTTTAGGTATTAAATCAATTTTTTTTTTTCGTTGAAACAAGTCTTAAAAATGTAAAAGAACAAACGGTAATGCCAAAAAAAAAAAAAAAAAAAATCGTAAAAAGTTTCTCTTTAATTTTTAAAAGATGTATTCGAATATTAGTCAAAAAACAAAAGAAAAATCGGAAACTAAAGGAAAAGCATTAAGTTTGACTATTATCTCAATGGTTGTTTGTGGTTGACTTATAAGAGAGTTTTTTTTTTTCCAAACGTTTGATTATTCTATTTATTGGAAGCAACGAATAATTTTCTTTAATATTCACGTTTGTTGAAAAAATAATCTTTAGTTGACCTTGATTTTTGATTGTCAACTCGGCAAACTAATATCATGGTGTGGAAATCAATGAGTATGATCTAGATTTGAGGTTGACATGGAGGATAAGTTTATTTTAACAATTAGATTAGTATGATAATTGCAGCTATAATTTGTCCACTAACAATTAGGTTAACATTGTGATACTTAGGGGTAGACGTAGTTTCATTTGGTTGTGATTCCAAGATAATCGAATCAAACCAATGATTTTTTTAATTTTTTTTAAGATATGGAATCAAATCGAATCGAATCATTCGGTTCTTGTTTAGTTTTGCTTGGTTCTGATTTCATTACTTAAATTTTCAAATGATAAATGCAAATTAAAACATATTACCATATCCATATGTTAATAATATATACCTAAATAAAGAAAATTAAATATCAAACATTCAACTAATCATACTTGATTCTAACACGAAAAATGTGATGCAAGATCAAGTTATGAGGTTTTACTAGGAGTAGTTGAGGTTTTTAGCATTTTCTAAGGTTAAACTGTGAAATCTTCATTTTGACACATCATACTACATATACATTTTTTTTACATCATTTTTGACATTGCGACACATAATTGTACATTTAAAAAAAAAAAAAAAACTTTCCCATCCAACACTTTTTGAAATTCAATGGAGTGTAGACGAAGATATAAACCAAAAGATGTGCACTTAACATTATTCTTGACACAAACGTGTTGTACTAAGTTATCTTCTTTTTGAGTGTCAGCCTTTAGGCATACATCGTGAGAATGGTTAGATACATATCACATTTTATTTGAAAGAAATAATTAAGAATTGAGATAGTTGGTCGAGTGGTGAAATGTGTATAATTTATTTGAGATTTGAGAGGTTAACATTAAAAAAAAATAAAAAGATTGTTGAATGTTGCAGTTATTGGATAATTTAGTTAATAATAAAACCAAGAGTTTTATTTTATTAATTTCAAATTATTATTGGATTTTTTGTTTGGGCTATATACCACTCGATTTCTTGAAAATTATATAGAAGTCATTTCATCTTCTGTAATTTTTACAAATTCAAATCTAGTGTCTTTTTTTTTTTTTTTTTTTTAAGATACCGTTCTAAGTAAAACTGAGTTTTGGAAATCCCTATTTATTACTGAATATGCAATTTGATCGTCATATCGTGAGAGTGGCTATTTAAAGAGGTTGCCACAGTCAGCGTTGGACAATTTTACTTTAGATCGTGCTGCCACAAGTCTCAATAGTTGGATAAATCTTCTTACTTTTTGCATTTTAATTGATGTTCTCAAAAGGTATCTATAACTGATTTTTCTACACTTCTTGCATGGCTTTCTAAGTTAGCTCTTTTGTCTTTCATTAAATCAATTTTTTTTTTTTATTATTTCAAATTCAATTTCAACCATACATTCACACAATAGTATATTTTGCACGTAAACTCATATTTTCTTAAACCACACATACTCTAAAAAAAAATCACTATTCCAAAATATATATTTTTTTCCAAAAAAACCTCTTTTTAATGGAAAACTCCCGACAGCATGAGCCTCATTTTTTGTATAAAATGCATTTTGAAATAGTAGATTGATGGAGAATATATGGTTAAAAAATAAGAAAAAATTTTGAATTTGAGTGTAATATTATTTTATTGTGTGAATGCGTGGTTGAAAAGTAAAGAGAGAAAATTGTATTTTGAAAAAAAATAAGATCAAACAAAGGCAAAATAAGATGATTTGTGCATGTTTTAGTACTATGCCTAGAAAAAAGTAAAAATATCTAAAAGTAACTTAAGGGTGTGTTTGAGTTACATTATTTTGGAAGAATGTATTTTGAAATAGTGGATTGATGGAGAATGTACGATTGAAAAAGAAGGAAAAGTTATTAATGTGATGGAAAATATTATTTTGTTAAAAAATGTGATTGAAAATGAGAATAATAACGAGAATAAAATTTTTAATGGGGCTCAAATAGGGGCTAAACTTTGACAAACTTATATTTAAGATTAGTAACTTATTATTATTTTTTAAAACATGGAAAATAAGTTTCAGCCCCTATTTAGTGGATATTAAAATTAAATTTGGAGTAGATTTTTAATAAAAACTTATAAGTATATAGTTGAAAAATTGTAAATCTTATGAATGTGTAGTTAAAATTAATTGTTGATAAAATTTAGATTTAAATTTATAATTCTCACCAAATATGTGATTAGTTTTAAAAGTTAAATATATATAATTATTTTTGAAACTTAACTTTGCCAAACATGAGCCTCTAAGGAGTGTCCCAATGAAGGTGGTCCGCACTCTTACATATGAATGCATGGTTTTCAAAAATCAGGTACTATATAAACCCTAATCCTAATTTATCACTCACACACACAACTCTCTCTCTCTCTCTCTCTCTCTCTCTCTCTCTCTCTCTCTCTCTCTCTCTCGTCTTCTCTCTACTCTCTCTGCAAATTGTGGATCTGAAATCGAAACCGTGGATTTGAAACCATCAATTTCCAAATATTGACGCTCTCAACTCCCTTACCCCTCTCTCTCTACCGCGCCTCCTCTCTACTCTCTTTGTAAATCTGAAACTGAAACCTTCAATTTTCAAATATTGACGACAACAATGGCATGGCAGGTATCAATGGCTGTGGATTTAAAATGGATTGATGGTGATGGGTTAATGGGTCGATGATGATGTAAGATCAGAGAAAATGGCAGATGTCGGTGGCTTGAGGGTTGTTGTCAGTGGCTGTGGATTTAAAATGGATTGATGGTAATGGGTTAATGGGTCGATGATGGTAGAAATCGGTGGCTGAGGTGTAGCCGACAGCATGGCGTGGTGGTTGCTGTAGGGCTTATTGGATTTGGTTGGTTATTAAGGAGGTGCTTGAGGGTTGTCGATGGCAAAATGTCGAATGAGGAGGCAGAAATGGCGGTGCAGTCGTCGGAGATGGTGGCTATCGCGAAGGTGCAGCAGTTGCGCAGCGCCATACTTTTCAGCTGAGTCTGTCACAAATCGTCGGCGATCTGAAATTTTTATAGCAGCTCTGAGGTGTTTTGGGTGGTGGCATCTGTGGTGGTGGATTGACTGTTGGTGGTGGTCGTGTTTTGTTTTGTAGCCGTGGGTGGTGGCGGTGTTTTGTGTGGTGGTGGTGGCTGAAGTAGTTCCAGTGGTATGTGACCAAGTATTTGGTTATCTGTGACCTAAAAATTTTGATAATATGTGACTGAAAAATAATCTGTGGCCAACAAATTTGAAAATATGTGACCAATGAAATTAACTTGACCTATAAATTATTGAATTTGTGACCTCGAAATCATCCGTGACTAATTAATTTGATAATATGTGACTAATAAATAAATTGTGACATATAATTATATATATGTGACCATTAATTGTATAATGTGACCTAATTAATAAATATTTTTAATTAATTATCTAATACTTGATTTTTGAATTTTCAAACTATAAACCTGATTTTTGAATTGGTGTAAACTTTACACCTGATTTATGATTTTTTCCCAAAAAAATAAAAAAATTTGCCTTATATGCGCCCACTGGGCCAAAAAGTAAAAAAATTTGGGAAAAGTTCATGGATCAGGAATTAACTTTGACATTTACAAAAATCAGGTGCCGAAGTTTTAAAATTGCAAAAATAAGGTTTTTACTTTTTATTAATTAATTAAATATTTAATAGTGCAATTTGGTTTAATTAGTTAAAAATTAATTTCAGGTCACAGTTTATCAAATTAATTGGTCACAGATTATTTCGACGTCACAAATTAAAAAATTTATAGGTCACAGTTGACTTCGTTGGTCACAGATCAAAAATTTATAGGTCACATTTGACCTTATTGGTCACAGATCAAGAATTTCATGGTCGCAGGTTATTACTCAACCATGAGTTAAATTTTTTTATAGGCCACAGATTGATAAATCTAAACTTTTACCAGTCACAACTTTATTACAGTGAGTCACATGCACAATTTTTAGGTCACAGACACCTACCCCCAACTCATCTCATCCCACCCATGACTGCCACCACGACCACCCCATAGCCACAGCTACAATCCCAACCACCACCAAAATATTACATCCGCGTAACAACCATCGCCAACACGACTACCGCAACAAAATCACTGCACGACCACCGCAAAACAAAGATCCAAAATCTGCACAATCATCGTCACCACCAAAATCTACGTAATCACCAGCACCATTTACAAAACTCCAACCACCAAAACTCACCTCCACCGCCGGATCCACCGTCGCCATTAGACCCACTACCATCGCCAACAAGGCAACAACCCCATAAACCACAGAACCCAACCACTGCACGCTTCAACACCTACCACCACCATACGCACAACAACGTACCCACTGTACCCACAACCACCGTCGGATCCACCATCGCCATTAGACCCACCACCATCGCCAACAAGGCAACAACCCCATAAACCATAGAACCCAACCACCGCACGCCTCAACACCCAACTACAGCACCCACCACCACCGCACGCTCAACACCCAACCACAGCACCCACCACCACCACACGCACAATACCGTACCCATTGCACCTAACCATTGTAGGAGTTGCCAGAGCTGCAGGAGTCGCCGGAGCTGTCGGAGGTGATGGATATCATGTATTGGTACAGAGAGAGAGAATGGAGAGCCAGTGGGTTGAGAAAGAGGCGAGAGGCGAGAGATTTAGAGAGAGATAGTTGGGAGGAAATTGATTAGCTTAAGAATTAGGATTTTATACTACCAGATTTTTGGAAAAATAAACTAAAAACCTGATTTTTAAAAAGGTAAACCTGCTTTTTAAAAAGGTATACCTGATTTTTAAAAACGTCAAACTAAATTCCTGATTTTATGTAATTTTCCCAAAAAATTTCCTTAAAAAAAAAAAAAAAAAGAAGCTCATCCAATCACCCAAGCCCGTCTTTTGAAATAAGCCAGTAGCCTTTTCCCCCAATTCCTTTCCCCTTTTCCCCCAATTCCCTTTCTTTCCCAGAATTCAAATCCTTTTCATTTCCCCAATTCTCCTGACTAAAGACTGGCGACGGGCGTTCACACTTCGCAATACAAGTCAAGCCTTTGGCGAACTTCGGAATCGGTTGCTGCTGCTCAATTCATTTCTCCCATGCATCAATTCACAAGAGTCTGAGACAGTTAGACACGAAGTATAATTCAGCCAGTGCAAGTTTCTTGAATAGTTCAGCCTCAAAGAAACGGTGTTGGATGTTGATTATATTATTTGTGGCTTGTGGCTTGAAGGCATTCATTGATTTTGAAAGCATTCATTGATTTTATATTATCGTCCGCTAATTATTAGAAATCTTGATTTATGAGTCTGTATATTCATTGATTTTGTAGGCATTCTTTGATTTTGAAAGCATTCATTGATTTTATATTATCGTCGACTAATTATTAGAAAGCTTGATTTATGAGTCTGTAGGTTTCTGTAATGCTACTTTGCTAACATTCTTATTGGCCTTTTATGCATGAAGTTATGCAGCAGTAACTGATTGAGCTCAATGCTTGTGTTATATCTGACCGGGATTTTGAATTCCAATGGTTTTATCAATTAAAATTATGAATGTTAGTTCTATTGATCAACAATCTGATTTGTGTGTTAGCAGTGGTTACACCCATAATGCAGGCTGTTAAAATTTGGCTCTATTTTTTGGGTCTTCTTTATCCTGTAGACAGGTTCTTGATTCTTTTATCCTATGGATCACATATCCTTGCTCTAAAATGCAAAATATAAGTTTTATAACTTATATAACTTAAACGATTGGTCTGCTATGAATTCCAGTTGACAAAGCTACGATAACATTATATAAGAAAATGAAGATTTAGCCTACGTTCGTCAGACATTATTAGTAACTTAAAAGTTACTTTTACTATCCACCCATTCTACCATCGAGTCAAAGTAAACTTTAATTTTAACTACACATTTAGAACTACTCGTTATTATCCACATATTTCATGGTCCCTCCCACTATTCCTTGTATAAAGTTACTAATAATCAATAACGAGCTGAGGCTTAAGTTACTATTAGAAATCTAATCACAATTTTCTCCTCTGCCTAATAATATAGGATATTGTCAGTACTTTTATCATCTAATGACCAGACATATCTCATTTTATCTTGTGAATTGGTTCTTCATTCAGAGTTTTGATGGACCTTTTATGATTCTGCCTCTTAGTTCTTTGAAACTATCTTCAAAATCACATGTATATTAGGTTTTTTGCCAGTTTTTCAAGGCTAATTACTTCGCTTACTGCACAAATGTCTATATTTGTTTTGGAGATGACCTTTTAAACTCTTTGATTCCTGAATTTAGCTGGGAATTGGTTTTGCAGGAAAAGGCTTTTCCAGATGATTAATGACGTCCCAAATGTATTTGAAGTTGTGACAGGAACTGTTAAGCAGGTAAAGGACCAAGCTACTGCTCCCAATAACAATGGCAAGAATAAATCTAGTGGGAGAATGGTAAATGTTGTTCTATATAACCTAGTTTTCAAAATTTTATTCACATGGTTTGCTTATGCATGGCCTGTTTTTGCATCTTTTAGTAATCTTGGCAATCTGAACAGTTGAAGTTTCTAGCTTTTCATAATGAAGGGGTTAAGACGGTCACTTTCAAAAATGCTCCAAAAAATCACTGCGTATGAAAAGTCGTAAGGAACAATTGTAAAAAAGGTATTACATTTTGAATATTATCTTTATCGTTTAAAATTATTTTTTAGTCATTATGTCTCGTCCTCCTGAAAAATAATCCTGGATCCACCCCTGCTTGTATTGACTGTCGAAATAGTGGCACGTGAGCAAGCTATGGATAATATTGTATTTTTCTTAGGTCAGAAATATCTGCATTATTATAAAAGGTTGAACTCCAACCTTGAGGGTCCCCGCCCCACCCCGCCCCGAGAGCATTGTAGATGAGGTAAATCGCTGAATGTGCCTCATCAAGTCAGGGTACAAGAGTTGTTATACTGGTGCCCACAAATAGTCCAATTTCATACCTTATAAGAGGCAGGAATCGAACCCTCACACTACGAGTATGTCCCTGGGGGCAAAATATCTACATTATTTATTAGCCTATAGATTTAACATTTAGACTCAACCCAACTTGACAAATCAGTGCTCTCTCTCTCTCTCTCTAAATTTTGATATTTGGTTGTGTTGTCCAAAAGAACTCATATAGGAAGAAGAAACTGGTGTGCGATGAAGAAGCCGCGCCACCAGCTGGGTTCTCACGCGCCGCAGCCTCTAAAGGAGAGCTTCTACTTTGTTTTAATTATCTTATTCCTGCTGGAGATTGCTGGAGCTCAAACTACAAGAAATGCCACCGTTGATCCTTCTGAAGGTTCGCCTCTCTCTCTCTCTCTCTCTCTCTCTCTCTCTGTATCTATATGTGTGTGTAATTTACTAATTTTACACAGTTGTATTGCAAATTTTCCGGATTTTTTTATTTAAATGTTTGAGAACTTGGTTCTTTTTAAGAGATTTTTGTTTCTTGTTCTTCTTAGTTTCTTCATACAATCTCGTGGCTTTTATTGTGGTGTACACAGTTTAATACAAATGGATATTTTTTTCACTTTTTTCTTACTGTTCAAGAAATTAAAAAGTGGAGAAAAATTACTTTGATAGTCATTATTTTGAAAAAAATATGTTTTGAATAGTGATTTTTATGAAAAATACGCTCTTAACAAAATTATAGATTTACGTACAAAATATTTTATTATTTGAACGTGTGATTGAAAATTGGTGTAAAAACTAGAGAGTTTTGCTTTAAAATAAAACAAAGGGCTACATATAACTTAAAAGCCACCTTTAATTATATATCCTTGTTTAATTCCAATTTTTTAAAAATTCATTTTTCTATTAATTTATTTTCAATTATACATTCTTTCAATATAATAATTTTATACTTTATATTCAAAATTTTTCATATTTTTTAATCACACGTTTTTTAGAAAATCACCGTTATAAAATATATTCTCAATAAATATAGGACTCAAACACACTCTTTCGTCAAGAATTAAAAAACAAAAAAACCTCTTATAAGCACAATAAAAATTCCTTGTAGCGAAGGCTTTTCATGTGATTGAACTATTGTTTCATTCTTTTTTAATAATTTTTACTCATCATAAACAATATTTGTTACAATGATCCTTATTTATGAGTAAACTATTAATCACCATATGTATTAAGCCTTAGGCTATGTTTGATAGCATATAGTTTTCTTGGAAAATGAAAAACATTTTCCATTTTCGTGTTAAATACATGTTTGATTGGTAAAATTTGGTAATGAAAATATTCCCCTCTCCCCTCCACGCGCCCATTTTCTCTGTTTTAAGGGATTTTGTAGGAAAATGAATTCTAGATTCTGACCCTTTTTTTTTATTGGCAATGGAAATAAATTTCATAACCAATTGTAAAAAAAATTCATTTTAATGGACAATTTTAATGTAAAACAAAATCAAACGAACACTAAATTTTGATTAAAAAATAATCAAAAAATAGTTTTTGAGCAAACTTTTTTTTTTATATATACTTTTTGGCAATGGTAATAAATTTCATAACCAATTGTAAAAAAAATTCACTTTAATGAACAATTTTCATGTAAAATAAAGCCAAACGCGAACAAAAAGATCCAAAATTTTAAAATTTTCTTAGAGGAAAATTATACAAATCAAATACATTTAATTAACAATTCCCTGAAAAACAAGTTCTAGGCAATTATTTTCTCTGAAATTCATTTTCTTTTCACCCATTTTCTACCCTTGCAATCAAACGAACCCTTAGTTTAAGTGTCAATTAAATGGTATTTTAAATAATAGATTCATATAATTGTAAAGTCACATAATTGACGACTCATTTAGCCTCTGTTTGGGTCACATTCTTATTTTCATTTTCATTCTTTTACTTATTTTCAACCACACTTTTTTCAATAAAATAATATTTTCCATTACATCAATAACTTTTTTTTTTCCTTTTCAACCACATATTCCCCATCACATCACATAAAAAATGCATTCTCTCCTAAAAATGTGCATCAAACACACTCTTAATTGAAATCATAAAATATAGTCATCTAGACTACACCATTGGTGCTGGATCATATTATTCTTTTTTTATTTGATTGATGAAATTTTAACCTTATCAAATCTTATCATATCATGTGTTGTAAACAAATATGTAAATTGCGATGTACATGTAGCACAATCGATTAATGGATCATATTAATTTTTTTTTATTTGATTGATGAAATTTTAACCTTATCAAATCTTATCATATCATGTGTTGTAAACAAATATGTAAATTGCGATGTACATGTAGCATAATCGATTAAATTTTTAACAAGTTTTGATAAAAATTGATAAAATATGGAGTTGAAAGTTATGATTATTCATTGGTGGCTACCCAACTTTATACTTGGTGTCACCATGGTCACTCAATTTGATTTTGTTTCACCATGGCCACTCAACTTTATACTTAATGTCACCATGACCAACTAATTTGATTTTAATTCACTAAGGCCATCCAATTTCATATAATATTTCACTATGGTCACCCAATTTCATATAACATTTCACCATGGTTACTCAACTTCTTTTTACCATTTTCATTAATTTTAAAAGGGGTAAAACGATAACTTTACATTATATATATAAAATAAAATTAAAAAAAATTAAAACGTTTATTTTAAAATAAGTTGTTATTTTATATTTTTTTTAAAGAACATTTTTTTTAAAATAACTTTTTATTTATTTTATTTTTAAGTAACTTTTTTTTAAAAAAAATAAGTTTTTATTTTATTTTAAAAACATTTTTAAATAAGTTTTTATTTTATTTTATTTTTCTAAGTAACTTTTTTTTTTAAAAAATAAGTTTTTATTTTATTTTATTGTTTTAAGTAACTTTTTTTAAAATAAGTTTTTATTTTGTTTTTTTTAAAATAAGTTTTTATTTTAATTATTTTTATATATAATACAAAGTTGCCATTTTACCCCTTTTAAAATTAATGAAAATGGTAAAAAGAAGTTGTGTGACCATGGTGAAATATTATATGAAACTGGATGGCCACAGTGAAACGTTATATGAAATTGGATGTCCTTGGTGAAATAAAATAAAATTAGGTGGTCATGGTAACACTAAGTATAAAATTGAGTGGTGATGATGAAACAAAATCAAATTTGCTCGCCATGGTGATAAAGTTGGGTGGCCACCAATGAATTTAACTCTCCTATAAAATACATTGTTAAAATTAATTATTAATGTTGACTTAACATACACCAAACAAGGTCTCAGTCAAAATAACAAATAGTGACAGCGTCAACAAATTTTAGTGATGCTAATTAACAGTTTCTTTTGTAATCATGATTAATCAATTTTTCAATTTATTATAACTATAATTACAATTATCATTTTTATTTTTATTTTCATTTTCAAGTTTTTTCTTTATTATACTTAACTCGAAGTTGGTTTCATCTGTTATCATCTCAATTTGAGTCGTGTAAAGTACAATGGTAATTGTTACTCATATAAATAGTCGTAAAAATAAATGCTACATGGCAAGCGGACAAGCCCACATGTGGCGTAGTAACAGGCGACCATGTATATGTCGAAGCCATCCTAATCCGATGCTGCTCATTCGATCCCCGTTGGCAGAGGCGTCAGCTCGCTCCTGACGAGGTGGTAAGTCAACCAATAGCGGACTTAACAAAATGATTGACAAGAAGCATCCTGCCAGTGCTGTCTCTACATGCTTACGCAGTCAGATCCTATGTCAAGGGAAAAGATAAGGAGATCTATGCATTAATGACTTGATTGATTGATTGATTCTAATGAGGACCATTGGATCTTTTACCATCGAACGGGCCCCGTTGACTCAACATGAGATATAAAAAGTCTACACGCCATACGTTGAAGGGGATAATGCAAATTTACACGTTCAAAGTAAATCTTGATTCTCTCCATTACATCAGAAGGCCGACCCCCTTTTTATGCATCATACAACCTAAAATAGCAACCTAAAAGGTTCTGTAAACCATTCCATGTGTTGATTCAGCGATATAGCTAGTAGTTGGATGCGAGCATATTGCGATTCTATCTATAAGGACTTGAGTTTTTGAAATTCTGTTGTCCACGTCATAGGACCATTTTTTAGGGTCAACAGATTCGCACCGTCTATGGGAAACTTTAATACCATAACCACGTACATGCTAGTGGTAAAAACTGTGGGTGAAAATATTTGAAGAAAGGCTTCAGTTCTTAAGCAAAGAACCATCCTGAGAAAGCAATCCAAAGAATTCGATGAGTTCGAGTCACCGGGGAACTCATGGTGGAAACATGCAGCAGGAGGCCTCTAAAGAAAAGGTCCTTTGTACGAATGTAAACATACGTTGCCCCCACCATCACCATAGAAGGGGTGGAATGACCGCACGCTTGGCACGGGAAGTTGGAGAAATGGCTGTTAACATGAGAAGCATGCCCAACAAAATGTTGTCATGCAGCAACTGCTAATGCAGATGCAACAACAAGCTGGGTCCCAGGTGCCTCAGCACATGGCTTTTCACCAGGAGGATGAAGAAAATAACACAGCAGCGTATCCACAAACGTACGGGATGAACGACCTAATGCAAAGAGCAGTGGGAGTTGACACATCCACCAACTATGTCATGAGCTACCATGGAAATGTCCCCATGGAGGAGCACTTCCCCCAGAATACCCTCAGGAGCAAGAGCCTGAAATGTCTGCTAGCATCTTTGATAGGATTGGACTCATGAGGCCTAGGAATAGGCCCCAACAACATCTCCCTGCTTAAGGAGAACGAGAACAACGTCAGGGGTATGAACCTCAAAGGATTCCACCACCGCCTAGAAATAGGCGGGAAATGAGGGACGCAGCAAACGCGAGGAATCAGACGGGAATGTCGCACCCCCATTATCAAGCTGAAGGGGATGATTCCGACGGCCCTTGCAGATCGTTCGAACTGGATGATGATGATGATGAGAGTTTGCCATTTTCCCAAGAACTGAGAAGAGCGCCGGTCCCCAGCCACTTTGTGCCACCAAAAATACCTAAATATGAAGGAAGAGGCGATCCCGCAAAACACCTCAATAGCTACAAGACTCAAATGTCTTTGCAAGGAGCCTCGCCCACACTACAGTGCCAAGCTTTCACTTCACGCTAACATGAGCTGCTGAAATCTGGTATAGCCGTATTCTAGCTGGCAGTATCCGAAATTGGCCAAACCTAAAGAAGGCCTTTTTGAACCAGTACCTGTTAAGCAAAGAGGGAGATGACCCTATTCAAAGGCTGCAAGACATGAGGCAACAAGTAGGGGAAA